TTAGGGAAATGACAGTCAGTTTCAGCTCTGATGGTATAATCAAAACAAATAAAACATGTTTCTAAAAGTTGTATCTTGAAACACTGGTGTTCAGCAGCTAGCAGCTTATGTGGTTTACCCTATGCATTTTTAGTGTTACAAATTTTATGGTTATCTCCAGCAGCTATTTCTATAGTACTTGCACTTATCTTTTATCTAACCCTAATTGAATTATCCTTTTCTCATGAGGTATTTATATTCAAAGTGTTGATTCTTTCTCTTAGATGCATAGGGAGAGTCATAAATTTGATGGAGATGGACAGTTTAGTAACTTATATACTATATTGGAATATGTGCTAGCAATCTGAGCACTAGTTCTGTGTGCCTGTGAACTTAATGCTGCTTGTCATATTCCACTTTGACTTCTTGGAGAACTAATCCCACCTATTAAGCAAAGGCTACTAAGTTAATGGTATTTTTCTGTGCAGAAACTGAATTTTGTTTTCAGCCTTTAGCTGAAGAATTTTTCCAGTAAGTGCTCAGCTACTTTAAAACAAAACTGTTTTCAAACATTCATTAGACAGCTGGAGTTTTTGCTGGTTTTATAAACTTACTAAAATGGATAGGCTGTTGAACATTCCACATTCAGAAGTTTTGTAGGGTGATGGGGGTGCGGGGGCGGGGGGGGGTGGAATCTTCAATGTTTATTTTAAAATAAAAATAAGTTCTCAACTTTTCTCATGTGTGGTTGTGGTACATCATATTGGAAGGGTTCTGTTTACTTTTGCAAATGAGTATTTCTTTTGCTAGCACCTCCACTTGTGTGCTTTAAATGACATCTGCCTGGGATGTACCACAACCATATGTTAGCTGTATTTTAGAGGGATTAGATAAAATGTTTGTGGTTTCTGGGGGTAATCCCTAGATGATGTATGCTTATAATCCTACATATAAAACTAAATTTGCTCTCTGTGTAGAAAATAATTTCATGACATTTACAATCAAAATTGAAGGAAATAAGTTCTTTCTACAGTGATCTCTATGAGTCAGTTCAGAGATAGGATTGGGGAGAAATGCTTTCCAGATTTCAAACTTCGATGCATTAGTGCAGGTGTTGTGAATGTGTAAAGGTGTTAGTAGTTTGAATATTTCTATGTATGTTTTTAAAGGAATTGTTTCTTTTTGAAATACTATATATTTTTTTTCCTTTGGCACTCTACCATTGCAGTCTAAATGTAAAGCTTTTATGCCTCAATTCAGACTATATTTTTTAAAGGAGTGCCTCTTATGGGGCAGAGAACTTTTTTAAAAGTCCCATTAAGATCTGAGTCTTGGTACTAAGTGTTCTGTATAATATGTGAATACTTGTCCTACCTATCAGAAGGCCTTGGTTTGGTCGAATGCATATTTTAGTGGAGTTGCAAGGAAATGATTGTCATACATGTCATTGTAGCTTCTTGGTATAAAAAGACTCCACATATATAAAGAACTTCTGTAAATGCACAATATCAATCATCTGGCGTGGATAATGAGACTTCTATTTTAAAGCTTTAAGGTAGAATGTCGTTAATTAAGGGCAGTTTTATTTCCAGATCCTAATATCCCTGAAGAATATGGAAGAGTTTTTCTGATCATTGTATCTTGATGCTAAAACAAATATCCTTAAAATATTTTTAATCAGTTAGCGTCTATAGTTCTTTTGTCTCCTATACATGCAACTCTGTTTCATGGGAGACTTTTCCACTTATAGATGTGAGAATGTGTGTTTATTCTCAGAAGGCTTATTAACTGAGGTGCTCTGTTGACAACCAGTTCTTAAAATGTAGAAGGTAATTGAGTAGTCAGACTTCTAAGTGTCTTAGAAAATTTGTATTCTTTATATTTTCAATAATATATCTAATTAGGTGGAATGGGATACAGGTAAGCACTGAGTTCAAACCCTCCATTTAATCTTTAAGCTCCTGAATCCCCAACTCACTGGAGTTCTTATTATTAACTTTTGCTAAGTTCTATTTAAAAGGATTGGTATTGCCCTAGAGCTTACTCCTTCTAAAGAGTTAATGGGGAAGAAAAACCCTCAGGAAAATGAAAGTAAATTGTTAAGGCTCATCTCTATACCTTTTCCAATTTTGAATTCTACAGAAATACTGGAAAAGACTAGTGAATGTTTTAAATTACAGTAGATTAAATCATATTAAAACCTGATTCCTATTGTCCTTGAGTAAAGTCTGCTTTAGTTGTATATACCAACCAGCAAAGCTCTAAAAAAGATATGCTACTTGTGAGAAGAAGAAAACCTAAAGAAATGTCTTTGGTAGCCTCGTCTCCTAAGAAGGCTGGACTACTACGTTCTCTCAATCAGGATTTTAAAATTTTTAACAGCTGTTCTAAAGCCTAATCCAGTCCCATGCAGAAGACTGGCTCTTTCAGTTTAGGTGGTGAAAAACCACTTAATCTAGTAAAGCCAGTTTTTAATGTTGTATTCTTATTTGTAACTGCTAGTTCTTTAAGTACTGTTTATATTAGGGAGCCACTGTAATAAGCCACTGCACTAAAATCTTCATTCAGAAAATTCGGGTATACTTTGCCCCAGGCATCATGCCAAGCACTGAGCATTCAATAGTGACAGAATCACTGGTTCCTGCTTTCACTTTGAAGAGTCTAGTCAAAGATATTAATGTCATGACACTGAAGTATAGCAAATGGCCATGATGGAGCAACATGGTCGATGGTAGATATTAAGGCTTTGACTGATAGGATATGACCTAGTCAAAATGATCAAGAAAGACTTCATTGAAAGATAATTGAAATAAGACTTGAAGGATGAGTAGTAAAGTAGGTAAAGAAGGAGAGTGAAGAGCGAGGTCAAAGGTCCAGTCTCTAGTGACTGAGACAACTATCTGGCTCTAGTGGAAGGAGTACAGATTTAGTGGAGTTAGAGCCTGAAGAAACCTAAGAGCTACTGTGGACGTACTTAATCCATGTTAAGTTCTGTCTCTTAAATGAAAACTTGAAGATTTTTAAGCTGTGTGTAGGCTGGGGGGATGGGGAGAGGGGGGGAAAGGATCATGGGCCACCTAATAAAATTGCCATTTAAAGAACACTCAGTGCAGTGTTGAGAACAAATTGTACAGGGCAAAAGATGGCTACTGGAGTAGCCCATGTAAGAAATGACACCATAAAGTGAAGGGTGGTGCTGAATGGGTTCTATGTATTTCTGATTATACCGCTGCTCAGTATCCTTTGCCAAGTTCTCCAGACCTCGGTTATTAGGCTTCATCTCCAGCTAATCTCTAGGTGATCTCATCTGGTCCCATGATTTTGACACAATCAGCATTTTAGTCCTAAATATTTTTATGTCCCAAACTCCCAAAAACAAATTCCTACTCAGTATCTTGATTTGAATGTCATGAGTATTCCACATTGACCTCCTGATTAGCCTACATTCATCCAGTTGTTCAGGACAAATACCTTGAACATCATCTTTGATTTTCTTTCATACCCTGTATCTAGTCCTTATGCACATCCACATAGTTCAGCCTTGGAAATATATCCTGAGTCATTTAGCACTTGTAACCACCACACTACCAGCTTAGAATAGGTAACTACGGTAGCTTATGATGGTTCTCCCTACTTAGGTTTCTGTGGTATAATTTTTGCACAGTGGCTGGAATGAACCATATAAAGGCGAGTCAGGTTTTGTCACTTCTCTGATCCCCAAAGTTTAGTCGTTTCCCATCACACTTAGAATTAAAATTTAAATATGGCCCACATGCCCTTCATTATCTGGTCTAATTTTCTACTATTTTCCTTATTGCTCACTACTCGGTCCACACTGGCTGCTTTGCCAAGATTTTTTCCTACTCGTGAACGTTTTCTGCATGGGCAGGCTTTTCACGCAAACATTCTTAAGATGTGTACTAAGTTCAGGTCTTTGCTTCAGTGTCAACACCTCAGAGACCTTTCATGTTCACTTCTAAAGCAGTACCCTCAGTCACTTTTTACTCACTGGATACTTTATTCTTAACATCACTTAAAAACCTAGAACTACATAAGCTTCACGAGGAACAAACATTTTGGTCACTATTCCTTGTGTCTGGCATGTTGACATTTGTTGAATTATAAAAGAATTTGATGACGGATCTTGGACTAGATGGGTGGTGGTGCTGATGATCACCTTAGATTTGAAGGTGTCTCGATTTGGGGAAGGAGTTTCAACGAGCAAGGGAAATGAGTTCGGCTTCAGACATTCTGAATTTGAGGTGTCTGAGAAGAAATGTAAAGCAAGCAGTTCGATTTGTTTGCTTAATTTAAGTTCAACAATCCGGACCAAAGACAATGTAAAAATACATATGGGTGGCCCTTGTAGTCACGTGCTTGGGCGCGTTCGCCTGGGAGCTAGACTTGGGGGGAGTAACAACAGTAGAGCCCCAGAGCTGGTTTTCAGAAGAGCTCCAACATTTGACGGCCAGATAACAGGCCTGAAGTTAGGAACGTGCAAAGTACAGCGGTTGCAATGGGTAGAAAACCTGCAGAATTCCAGACTACGAGGTTATTACTGCGGTGTAGAGGGTCACGTGAGATGAATGAACTAGGTCTGCTTGTCGAATTCCCTCGTCTTGTCACATAAAAATGGGAAGGTATTTAAATAACAGAATCGGTAAAATTACGCACAGGTCCTGGAGCCAACCGTCTCACATCACCAGGCTAACATTGAAAACTACCACTTACCGTGTGCTGCCCGGATTCTATCTGGTCACCTGAGCTATCCCCGGCACAGTAGCAGGGGCTAGGGGTGCAGACATCTGTATGCTTATTTTGCCCTTGATAGCCAGGGCATTTTAATTCTGATATGGGGAGAGAGGCAAATTGCACTGGCAACACAGTCATAAATGGCA